GATGCTCCACAGCCATTTTTCCTTCAGGGTGGCGCAGGATTCATGGATGCGGGCAACCCCAAACCCACACGGCCCAAGACAATACCCCCCTACACAGGTTCCAGTCGCTGCTTCGACCATTCCGCCTTTAGCGACGTAAGTGCTTCAGGCAGGATGCCTACCATCCGCATGCTGTCTGCTCTGATGGAAACTTGAGGCGTATCGGGGCATTCGGGGCTCTTGCGTTCACGTCACGGGCTTCGGGTTGTAGCCGCTCGATGTCATCAGGAGCAGAAATTCTGAAACACTGAGAAGCCAATCCAACGATAATGCAACTGACCTTCGGAGTCCTCTTCAGGGGTACGCTTAATGCCCGTAGCATCTGTGTAGTTAGACCAATGATCATCAGTTTCGACACCATGACACTCAGAACCACTGGCTCCAAGAACACACGTGTGACGATTCGCAAACAGCATGTCGCCAAATCGAGCTACTGTCGCTGCAGTGGCAAAGGTGGTGACATTCGGCAGCAGTGGTTGCGACGGCAGGGGAAAGGGTCGTCATTGGGTTAGCTCGTGCAATACTTGGACGTCGACTTCTCGCCGATTCGGAGCTGTGGTGTCTCTGTCCAAGGTAAGATGGCACACCATATGCCACAAGCCCCCAGAATAAGCCGCATCCCTGCAATGGCTTGTAAGAGCTTTACCTCCAAGTCTCCAGTCCCGAAATCCCGCCAAACCCTACACCCAAAGCCTTGAACCCAAAACTTAAACCCTAACGTTCCATCACCTTAAACCCTAAACCTTAAGCCTTAACTCAACCTTCGGGGCGGTGTAGGGGGCATGTAGGGTTCACAGTTCAGGGTTTAGGGTTTAGGCGTAAGGTTTAGCGTTTAGAAGTTTAGAATTTGGGATGTATAGGGTTCACAGTTCAGGGTTGAGGTGCAGGGCTTAAGGCTTGGGGCGTAAAGTTTGGGGCTGTAGGGTTTAGGGTTTATAGGATGTGGGGTTCACGGTTCAGGGTTTAAGGTTCAGGGCTCAAGGTTCGTTTAGGGTTTAGGACGTAGGGAGGGTTCAACCCACGGTTCAGGGCTTAGGGTTAAACGAACCCTTAAAACCAAGAAAGGAACCCTTGAATCCCTAAAAAAGTGGAGCCCCGTCTGTCGTTGGATCGCACGCCAACCCAAGGTCGATCACCGCCGCGAAGCACCTTGGTAACATACGGGGGTTTAGGGTTTAGGGTCTACCTTAACCTTACAAAAAATTCGTTTTTGGGGTTCCTTATCATGGCTTCTTTGTAGAAGTCTTTAAAGAGGTAGGTTCTTTGGGGTCCAGCTAGGGGTTAAGGTTTCGGGAGCTTCGGGATTGGGGTTTGGGGTGTAGGAAAAGGGCCAGAATAATTACCCATAGGCCCCTAAGTAGTTCTTTTTGGGATTACCTTGTAGGGTTTTAAACTTAAGCCATAAAAAGGAACTACTCAGGGGCCTATGGGTAGAGTAGGGTCCCGCCCTTCGGTTCCTATAAGGGCTTTGTATAAAGGCCTTAAGGGTTTAGGGTTTAGGGGTTTTGCGTTTAAGGGGCCTTAATGATTGGGGCAGGGCTTGGCTACACTATCCCCCGGGGGTCGTGTGGTCCTTAAAGCAAGCCTTTGGGCGCTTGTGCCGTCGGCTTCGGCTTTGAGAGACGAAGCGGAGTTCTTTATGTGGAGATACTTGGAGGGTCGGAGGACTTAGTAAGTAGGTAATAAGTAGAGGTATACACGCCCTAATTGGGATCCTAATTGGGGTTGTGGTACTTAAAACTCTACACAACAGCTACTTATTAAGTCCCCCGACCCTCCAAGTAGTCTCCGAAGTGGGAGCTCCAGAAGCCTTGGAATCAACACAATGACCATGGTTTGCAGGATCCTACAAACATACACCGAAATGGACCTCCAAGTACCCTAAACGCGTAATCCCAAATCACAAATCCTTACCACTTTGCCAACTGGTGCTGCAGAGTTTACAGGTTCACCCAAGAAAGCTCTGGGCATCGACTCGCCGACAGCCCCTGCACCCTAAACTTGAAAGCCCTTCTACTTCTACGGTAAGCTTACATGGTAATTAGGGATCTGGTAAATGCAAGTAGCGCTCGTTCAGATCATTGGTGAGGGTTTACCGGGGGGTGCCAGTCTGGGTAGGCGGATAATGAAAGCCATTTTGTTCATGAAAGGACCCGCCTTCTGCTCCAAACCCTTATATAACCCAAAGTATATACTGTGTAGGCGCCTGGACCCTTAGGAGGTTTCTAGGTGCGTGGACCCAAGTCAATGTCCAACTCTGGGATGTTCTACTTGGAGGTAGTTCTAAGTGAAGTTATAAGTCCCCAAATATAGGCTTGCTTATAACTACCCATGAGCCTCCCAGTAGAGCCCTTATAGTAGCCTTCCAGATCCCTTATATATAAGGAGCCTTATGAGAAGGGGTTTAAGGTCTAGGGGACTTGTAACTTCCCTAAACCCTAAACCCTAAACCCCAGGAACCTCGAAGTAGGGGCCGAAGGGAAGCTTGAGAACTTGGAAAATCAGTGGATGCCATGGCTGAGGATTTGGGCTCGAACCCTAAGGGCCCATGTAGCCAAAGAGGGTTCCGTTTTAAAGGGCTCTATAAGGGCATGATGCGGGTTTGGGGTTCAAGGGTCCGTGTACCCAAATAATAACATCTGCTTGGGCCCCAAAGTATCTATATACAGAGACTACTTTAAGGCCAGAATATATGCGATCTGGGTACATGGACACTTAGCGAAAGCTCCAGGGGGTTCTGGGTTTGGGGCTTTGGGGTTGCTGAACTCTTCAGCTGCTCGCAGTGTTGCCCTCACCCCTAAACACAGAGACTCCAATATCCCTTAATTAAGGAATACACCTTAAACCATATGAGGGGGATCCCTACTATAATTTAAGGTATATTCCTTAATTCAGGGATATTGGAGTCTCTGGGAACCCTAAATCCGAGGCGCCTGTTCCCCCCCTCACAGTTCAGCATGACATTGGCTGGCTTGAGATCGATGTGGTGCAGTCCGGCTTTGTCGTGGAGTGCCTGGGGCAAAAGCTACCCTGCCTTTGTTTGGGTGCACCCAGAACCGACATCCTCGTGCATGGCCTCCGACAGTTTTGCAAAAGCCCCGAACCCTAAAATTCAATGCTTGGTAGCAGTGCAAGCCGGCCCTTAAACTCCAAGCCTTGACCCCTTGAACCATGTCGTGGAAGAGTCCGAGGATGTAGGACCTGAGCTCAGACGTTTGAGCGGTTGGGGCTGGTCCCTTCTGCTGTTATCACAAGCACACTCGGCATCTTCGTGTCATGTGCTTATGCAACACAGCAGAGAAACCAGGCCGGGTGACGTGGTGAAAACACGGTCCACTTGAGTCCAGTCTTTGCGGCCTGCACAGAAGGGTGCTGGGGCGAGGGGCTTCGGTGCTAGATGTATCACGCTTGGACTCGGGCCCAAATTGCGGCAAGGACTACTTATCTATCTATCTATCCATCTATCTGTCTGTCTATCTATCTATCAACCTATCAACCTATCTATCTATCTATCTATCTATCTATCAACATATCAACCTATCAACCTATCTGTCTATCTATCCATCCATCTATCTTTCTTTCTATCTAGCTATCTATCTGCCTATCTCTTTTGTGAATGTATAGAGATCATTCACATGTACATGTACATATACGGGTGTTACGTGTGTAACAATAATACATATGCACACATACAACTACGACACTCCAGATTCACAGGAGGCCCAAACGGCAGGTTGCGCAGGCCCAAGCCGAGGCATAAAAGCTAGACTCAGCCAGACCCCAAACAGCCTAAGAGGGTTTTAAGATGGTTTAGGGGGGTTTAGGGTGAGGCCTACGGCCCAACCTGAAATGTCTACTAGGATTTAGGGTTTAAGGGGCTTTAAGCAACCATCCAAAAGCCGAGGGCAGTAAGATTCCAGGACCGTGAACAGCTGGAAGGATATCGAATAATCGAACAGGTATGTCTGGGTTTTACAAGCTTTTTGAGTCTCTTGAGTTTGGGGCTATGCAGGGTTTCAGGACTTAAGGCAGGGTTTCGGGGCTTAGTGGGTCGCTCACAGGCAAGTTTCAGGGGTTTGGGCGTTTGGATCTGGCATTGAGGAGTAGTCGCTGAAGGGTTCAGGAATGTATATTCTCATTGGGATTTCGAGTAACAGGGCTTCGGTTTGAAGGTTTAGGCTTTAGCTATTGGGGTGTACTAAGGGTTTAAGGGGTCCTATGCACAAGACTATGGCTCTGAAGTGGTGTTGCCCCAGAGGCTCCATCTATCCTACCATTATGGAATTAAGGGCTTAGGGTTTAGCGTTTAGGGTTTATGACCCCAAAGCCCCAAAGCCATTTAGGGCCCCAAAAGACCATGGCTTTGGGGTCATAGAAGTAGTATACATATGGAGCCTCTTTGTACCCGAACCCCGAACTTCCCCCAAACCATAAACCCACATAAGTAGTACATGGACCACCCTAAACCCTAAACAAACCCTAGACTCGTAAACGTAGTATATATCAAGCCCCAGGTGTGCTGGAACCCCCCTGCAAATGAAAGCCGGCTCACAGGTTCCGTGTCTGCGGATCCTGCAGGAACCCCCTCAAGAGGCTTAGAGACAGGGTTTCGGGCCATGACTTCGGGGGGTGGGGCCCTGAATCTGCAAAGTCATGGGTGGACGAAAACAGAACGCAACTCAAACTCGCGATCCCTGGCTTTGATTTGTGGTTGGGGCTCATGGGCTGCAGGCTGTAAGTCTAGTTATGCTCCGCTCATGCAGCCAGCATCAACCTTAAGGCCTAAGCACCTGTACTTTGAGGTGTCCGTCTAAACGTAAACCCTAACCCTGTAGTCCATAAACCCGACCCCCAGAAGTAAGTAAAATGATGGCATTTTACAGCTGTTGGGCCATTATATATATATATATGTCCTACTTTTACGGTTAGGCAAGCCCTAAACCCTCAACCCCTCATGAAGCCTTCTGCGTCCCCGTTGATGCACCCGCGATTTCTGCGGCACTTTTCCAGGAAATCGTGAAGCTCCCCACCGTTCATGTATGGCATCCTCGAAGAGGGTTTAGGGTTTAGGGTTTAGGGGGTTTAGGGGTTAGGGATTCGTGTTTTTTGGTCTCAATTTAACCGCCAAGAGGTTATGTAGGCGACTCCTGCGGGGAACTACAGTGCGTATGTTATACGAAATCATATAACACTACCGTACATTGCGATACACAATAAATAAATAAATATAAATAAATAAATAAATATAAATAAATAAATAAATATATATATATATCACATACCACATAATTATAGGTAGGATTTGATGCCGCTAGGAGGGACCGGTTTAGGGTCGGAGAGAACATTCCACCAACCCAAAGCATGATCGGGGCAACAGCGGTTTAGGGTTTAGCGTTTAGGAGTTGAGGGTTTAGGGTTTAGGGGTTTAGGGTTCAGGAGTTTAGGGTTTAGGCTAAACGGTTTAGGGGTTTAGGGTTTGGGAGTTGAGGGTTTAGGGTTTAGGGTTCAATGCTGGGCGCCACGCCCCCTGCAACTGCGGCTCAGGGCAAACTGCCCACATTCGGAATGCAGCCACAAAGGTCTCTTGCAAGGGTCTTTAAATTGGTATCTGGCTGCATAAGAGTCTTGAGCGTGGGCCCGAACCCGCTAAACCTAACCCTATATAACCCTAAACCCTAAACCCTAAGCCCTGAACCCCAAACCCCAAACCCTAGCCTACCGACCTCGCTCCTAGGACCCGGGCCCTTTTTGAGGATGTCCTCGAAGAGGCAGCCCCTTTCAACAGTATTCTTTCGAACTGCCCCCTAGTTCACGAAGCGGAACGGTAAGGGCTTAGGGGCGTAGAGCCCGAGGAACCGTTTAAGGTTTAGGGTTTAGGGGTCTAGAGGTTCAGGAACTCGAAGAGCAGGTTTGCGAGAGAGTTAGAAATGCAGAGGCCCCTCATACATAGAAGCGGGCTTCTGAGTTATATGCGAGAAAAGACGTGACAAGGAACCCACAGTTGCGGAGCTTAACCTCAGGAGCTTATGCTGGAAGGCGCAGGGGTACATGTCAAAAGGAGCAGCACGTACGGTCTCATACGGCCTCATAGAGCATGTCTGGCTATTCAGGCTTCTGTGAATCAAAAAAACATTACCTGTAGTCTCCATTGTTGTTCCTGTTCTGTTTTACCTTGTAGGACCCGAACTAAAAAGGCTGGTTGAACCAAAAACAAGGAACTACAATGGAGACTGCCTAAATACCACACAGTAGGTAAAATAATTGCCCAACACCCACAGAAAGGTAGTTTTGGGGTGCAGGTAAAGGTATACTTCACACCAGCAAGGAATGATTCACACCTGGGCTTTGTCCCAAAGAGTCCCGAAACCCTACATGTGACGATATAGAGCTGTAGACACATAGGACCCTTTGGGAGTCGAGCCATGGTTTCCGCCGAAAGGGAGCGTGTGCTGGCTGCTCTAGTTAACATGTGTGCGGATAGCAGTCAAGCGAATCCGTAAAAGATCATGAGTGGAATCCTAAAACGAACACGTCACATGGGCAAAGCGGCATAATCCAATACCCATCGCTGTTGTCGATGAACGGCGGCTCACCAACAGCTGAAATGCAGAAATCCGACACGCCGCGCATGCTCTCCAAGACCTTGATTTCCTGCCTGGCGGGAGTTGTCATAGCAGTACCGTGGTTTGGGGGATCGTTCTAGGACGGTCTGAATTAAGGCCCCGTCGGTCGGTACACCTATGTGGACTCCAAGCCCTTTAACTGATCCATACTTGGGAGCCCATCGAGGCAAAACCCTAGCTGCCTACAGTTTGGAGTTTACCCATAGGCCCCTAAGTAGTTCCTTTTTGGGAGTACCTTATAGGATTCTAAACATAAACCACAAAAAGGAACTACTTAGGGGTGTATGGGTAGGGCCTAGGGATTTAGGGTTTAGGCGGTTTAGGGTCTAGGCATTTCAACACACCAGAAACCCTGCTGCAGGCAAACCCTGAATCCTACACCAGGGTTCTTTGCCGCTCGGGCCGTGGCAGTTCCTGAGCCCTCTGCGACGACTTTCGGGTTCAGGGATGTTGTGGTGCTTCAGGGTTCAGGTTTTTGACTTTTGATGTCCCTTTTCAGCATTATTCCTAATCATGGAGCCACACTGGGCAGGTCTGCAAAGAAACAGTTACCTCACACCACACATCCGGATTTTGGGGTTATATAGCATTGCACAACACGGCCCTTAGACCCACAATAGCAATCTGATCTTGAAGAACCGTTCGGGCCTATATAACACTCCCTCAGGAGCAACCGTTTTCGAGCTTGAGAGGTCTAGGAGCTTCCGTCTGTGAGGAGTTTATGGGGTGTCACCCAGAGGGTCCATATAGACTACCGTTATGGAATTAGGTCCCAAACGACCATTCATATTATGGTTTTGGGGACCTAATTCCATAATGGTAGTATATATGGACCCTTAGGGTCAGAGCAGCAGCTGACACACAAAATCCGGCGCGCCGCCGTCTTCCCGTCTTCCAGGATCTCCATGGTTGCTTCCAATTTCACGGTTAAGGTTTAGGGTTTAGGGTTTAGGGTTAAAGGGTTTAGGATTCCTGCATCGCTGTCTCTCCACAGAACTCAGTTCATCCACGGTAGCGCATGGGTCCGTCGAACACAGATACTGTGGATGCAGCCCGCCCGAAGCCCTCTGCACTCGCAAAAGGTTAATCAGGGCAGATTCCGACAGAGGCTAGGAAGTACCCATAGGCTCCATAGTAGTTCCTTCTTGGGACTACCTTATGTTATAAGCTTCTAAATATGATCCCCAAAAAGGAACTACTTAGGAGCCTATGGGTACGCAAGGACACGCAGACAATCCTGCAAGACACCCAAGACTCCTGGCTTCAGAAGACCCAAGATCTTCCAACCTGTCAACCCGAGTTGGTGACCTACCTATAGTCTCCATTGTAGTTCCTTTTTTGGGTTACCTTTTAGGATCCTTAATATAAATTTGGTTAAACCAAAAAACGAACTACAATGGAGACTATAGGTAGAGGTTCAAGTGCTTCAAATTCCAGGGCACATGCTTCCCGAACATTTCCGACATGCAGGCCTCATACATACATTGCCATGTATGTTCGTATACATTTTGTCATGTATTCGTACACATTTATAATGTCTATACCGCTATTTTAATGTCCCAAATACCTAGTTCTTGGATCGTTTGAAAATAGGAATTCGGGTAATAGGGCTCAGGCGCAGCATTTGGGGTGCAGACATGTCTAGCGAGTCTAGCGGCAAAATCGTGGCTGAAGCCCTAAACCCAAAACCCGAAACCCTAGACCCTGCACCCGAAACCCTAGACCCTAAACCCCAAACCCCAAACCGTAGACCCTTAAACCCTAATCAACCCGAAAAGCCGGCCCTGGACTAGAAACCGCGGGCCACCTCACAATGGGCTCCTTCTTGACGATCAGCTTGACAGACACGTAGGTCTCCTTCTCCACAACAGAGAGTTTAGGGCTCAGGGCCGCCAAGCTCGGATCAAGCTTGGAACCTGAAACCCTGGATTATGATTGATCACGATTCGTAATAACGTGCAAAGTCAGGCCGTGAACATTCCTGGTGTTCTAGTTGCGTTGCCTCTAAACTCTAAACCTGTTCGGGGAGATAACGAGAGCACTCTTGGTTTCATCGAAGCTTCTTCTTGGTTTCCAGGTTCAGGGTTTAGGGTCTTCAGGGGCATAAGTATATTGTAATTTGTAATATAGCTACAGAGGGGCAGTAAGGACACATTCTTAAAAATTGTTCGTTCAACCCCCCTAAACCCCAAACCCGTGAACTGTTGAATTAGTTCAGAGGTCTGGGGTTCATCCGATAGCGCAGCAGCCACAGAAGCAACAGCACGTGACAGGTTGCACGTTGTACATTGGTCTTTATAAGAACCTGCATGGACTCTTAGGAAATGTGCAGTTCCGGTTTAGGGATTAGGGTGCCCTAGGAATACTCAGCACAAACTACTGGAAAGGGATTCGTTTGAAGACATGGGTCGGATGTCCTGCTCCGGGTGTCTGTTGTGGACTTTAGGCAACCTCAAGACCCGGGACTCATCACAGCCCAGAATACCTATAGTCTCCATTGTTGTTATTTTCAGGCCACCTTTTAAAATCCTAAATATAAAAGAGCTTTAACCAAAAACAGCAAGTACAATGAAGACTGTAGGTATGGAGTATCATCAAACTCCGATTAGGGTGTGTAAGGTTTAGGGGGGTGGGGTTTGAGGTTCATAAGGAGCGCTACTCCCACCTTAAGGACCGTGAAGTGGATGCGACCCAGCCCTCTGCGGTCCTGGTAGTTCTCGCAAAGCACCTTGCATTGAAAGACCTCACGCTTTCAACGTCAAGGGTTCGTAAGGCAGGCATGTGGACCCAGAACGAGGAACTGGTGGTTCCACAGTTAAGGCGGCGATCCAGCTATGCTGACATCGTTCAAGGCGTCACCCACCAACCCCTATCTCGCGACGGCCTCACATTCCCTACCAGTGTTGTGCTTTATGGCTCGGATTGTCGCGAAAGTTTGAGTACTGTCGTTGTTTCTCAAGAATGTGGCACACGAAATGGTGTTCAAACGTTACAGGGCGCAGCTAGTTTGGAAGTATGGTCGTGAGGCACCCGCGGCCCACGACCGGAGGTTTCCCAGAGATCACGTCCCACAGGAGCAATGCAGCGGCGTTCCCCAGAATCATTATTGGTTTAGGGTTTCGGGATTAGGGTTTAGGGGAAGCATTGGGGCCGTGGTGCTGATTCGGAGGCAAACTACTTAGCTACTCCTGCCTGTTAATCCGCCGTTGTGATTGTAGTCGTCGCGGTGTTCTCCACCTAAGGGTCCGTGTACCCAAATAGAGTAAACTTCGGCCCCAGAATACCTATCTATAGGAGTACTTTAAGGCCGCTTTTTATGTGTGTATATATATATGTGTGTATACACACACACACACACTATTCGGGCACATGGACCCTTACGGTGCCACTGCTTCGGGAACCGCGCTTCCGGAAGTTGACCCACAGCCCTTGCATCTCCTAAGAAACCCAGATACAGAATTAATACCCTCTGAGCACGCAGCCGTGATCATAGTAATCAGCGTATGAATAGTAGTAAAACAATAGTAACCAACAAGAAATAACAGTATTCATAGTAACAATAGCTAGTGGTAAAAATAGTAAGAATATGAAATGATGATAAGAGTAGTAATAATACCGCCCACAGGATAGTAACACGGCCCAAACCGGTTCAGGGGTGCTAGGCAGCTAAGGGGAACACACCGGACTCCCGGCCCTGGCTTCTCCAAACCTCCGAAACTGCAAGTCCGAAGCCTCCTGACATCTCCACAACACAAGCAATAACACAGACACACACATGCGCGAAAAAAACCCTGAATCTTAAAAAGGAGATAAGGCTTATAGGGTTTAAGATTTAGGGTTTCGGGCGCACACACACACAAGAACACTTAAAGATGAACTACACGATAAGAATCGACAAGAGCGCACCTTCCCAAAGGAGCCCTCACCCAGCTTCTTGACGACGGACAACTTCGATTGCCACTCCCGCGGCAAGTAGAGGTCTGTGTCATCTTCCTGGGAATCGAGTGTAAGGTTCAGGGAGAGCTTACCGTGGTGGTTTTAGGAAGTTAGGCTTGCAGATTCCTGGCTTTCTTAACCTGATCTACCGAACCTCCGAGCCACAAGAAGTGCTACAACCCATGAGCCTGATTTTATGCACTATACAGGAGCCTGAGTTATTAGAACAGGGCTTCGGGGCATACATATATATATATATATATGTACATACTATGACTGCAATGCGGGCAATAAGGGAATACTGACATTATTCCACCCACATTAATCTCAACGGCTGCTCGCACAGGGTGGAAACAAATTCGAATGATTTCGAACGCTGGGGTTTGGGGGATGAAAGGTCTAAGGCTTTCGGGTTCTGCTTTAGCTATGCTTCGACGGTTTTTTCACAGAGTTCACAGATGTTCCACGACTTTTTTGAAGAGTGCTCAAAACGGCTCCGGTTCAAGTGACAAATCCCATGAGCCTGGCACATGCAACAGGCCCTGAACCCTAAGCCTTAAACCATTCAGCGGCTTGGTATTGTCTGCGGCTTCGGGCTCGGGGGTTTAGGGTTTTTCATGTAAGGCTTTGGGGTTTAGGGTTTAGGATTTTTTGGGATTGGGGTCGTCCCCTAAGAGCCACCAGTTCTGCAGGAACCAGCAAAAGCCAAGTCTTTCTTGGGTGTAGAATTGTTCACTGGACCCTTGATCAATCAAGCCCCTTCCCCAGATAAATGTCATGAAAACGGTTGATGATATAAATCCTGCATCACCCATAATAAGGAATATACCATAACTCCCATAGTTTAGGGCCCTTAGGGTAATGCAGGATTTAGATCATCAACAGTAGGTGTTCTTATACTGGGGCCCTTAGTCCGGCTCAGCAACTGCACCTGTACCAAATCACGGCTCAACCATGGCCAGGCCCCAAAGCTGAAACCCTTGCTACCATGCACTGCCTACGCTCCCCTTGCGAGCATGCAGTGCCTACACTCCACCTTAGTTAGTAACCAGACCCACCTAGATCCCAAAC